CTTTACTGACTTGACTCAGTCACTTGTAGCTTTATCGGTCTGAACCAGCTCCTTGTTCCCAGGTTACAGACCTGCCTATCGTTCCAATAATCCTGTTTCACTTGAATGAAGGGAGTATGTCTTAAATGTAAAGCTTCTGGTTCTCACACTGTATACTCTGAGGTCCAAATGACTGTCAATGTGTAACCTGATGTCTCAACCCCCAGCGAGAAGAGTCAATTCTTTGGTGTTCACCAACGCAGGAGGCTTCACCAGAACAGGCTTTTTTTTTCTTTTCTTTTTTTATTTTACTTTTTTTTTTTTTTTTTTTTTTTTGCTTTGGGCTCTGCTGTTTGTTTGCAGAACACCCAAGAGTGAGCAAACATGCTCTCTTCATAGCAGTACCTTAGGGTTTTGCCATTGTAAATGGGTCTGATGTGATATGACAAGACCAGAGAAATTGGATGTAAATTTACATTTTTGAATATGCTTGTTGTTTCACATGATACATTTAGGGTATGCAGCTCCTTTTGTAGTTTTTATTTTTACTATTTAAGTTTGGAAATGATGCCAAATTTTTGTATTTCTTTAATCAATGTGTTCTCTTCGGTGATATATATTGCATTATATATTGATGTGTGTATCAATATATACTGATATGTATTACACTTACACATACAAACACATAAGAGGGGGTGAAAACGGTAGCCTTTGCATTCTCTATAGCCTCTGCAGAGAGATCCTAAGCAGCAAAATCTTGGTGTTGTGATGTACAGAAATGGAGAAGAGTATTAAACCATATTTAAGAATATACTTTGTGTGCTTGAGATTTTTTAGGACTATTCCTAGAAAAGTCTGAACTAGAGGTAGTGTGAGTTCTTCAAGGCGTATGTCAGATTAGTCATGGCTAATAACTTTTCAGCCTTAGGTTTGAGTTGTTTTCACTACATTTGCCTATGGAAGGGCATATGCAAAGGTGGTCTGGTGTCGTGATTCTAAAGTTATACTAGAGGAAGGAGGTTCAAGTTGCCAAAGCCAAATTAAGTTGTGTCTTCCCATTCTACATGCATGCCAAAGGGAATCTTGCTCTTTAAAGGTATTTCAATTATGTTATCCCGTAACTTTTAATATCCCATCCAAGGATATTAAGTGCACCCCATTTTACAGGCAGTGAAACAGACCAGAAGCAGGTTCTTAGTGATAATGCCAAAATTTTACCCCAGGCTCAATTTCAGAGTTCCTTCTTTAGTTTCATTTGTTTTTCTGTCTGGTAGTTTAGGCAGCCTAGTTGAGGAACCAAGGTGGCACATGATTTGCTTTCTACAGATTTGAAAAAACTTAATGCTGTAAGCAGAATTTGACCAGTAATGGCGGTTTGCTTTTTCAGCATACTTTCACACATTTTCTCATCTGATCTAGGCGATAGCCCTGATGAAATCCAGTTATCCTTTGGGAAGGAGTAGACGTGCCTGTGTGGGTGGAGTTGTAATTTTCCCTCTTAATGCATCCCTAGGTGCTATTCTTAAACTCGAAATCACTGGAAGGCAGCGCAGTGGTGCAGGATGTGAGAGCTGTGGTGCTCGCCTGTCTGGGCTTGTAGTACTTGCCATCTTTTGTTCTCTGGCTCTGGTTCCCATGCCATGACGCTCCCAGACAGGCACACTGGATTCAGGGCTGAGTGCCAAGGTAGAATTTAAGCCTCAGGCCAACTTCTCCCTTGTTGCCAATTTGATTTTTTCTTCTTCTTTTTTTTTTTTTTTTTGTCCTTTCTACCCTCTCGTTGCCAATTTGAGTGAGAGCCAGCTGGGATTCCCACTTGCCAAGTCCCACCCTGATGGGACTAGACCTAAGAAAAAAAGAAACTGACCAACTACGGGGTGTGGAAGCATCACATTAGAGCCAGGAAGGCAGGGCACAGTTACTTGCTCATTTTGTCGTTTGGGTGCCACAAGCTGCTTGAGGAGGTAGGTAGCTGAACAGAGGACCTAGAGGTAGATGTGAAAACAATTCTCCAGGGTTCTCTAAATTGAATCTAAACCCTGACAGGGTGAACTCTGTTTTAGATATACGCATCTATCTCCAGGAGTCTTTTCCTAAAACTGTGGCAGGCTCACCTGGGGCTCAGCTAATAGCCCAAGACAAGAAGTCTTAAGAAGAGGTCTGGTTCTGACTCTGCTGTTTACTGGGCTTATGACTTCCAATAAGTCCCTTCCTGCCCCTCAGTTTCCATGACAGTACAAGGCAGGCCCTGAGTCTGACATGACTTTCAAGTTGTGAAAGCTATCAGGATAGTACAGTAGGGAGTGGAAACCTTTGAGGTCTGACTGGGATAGAAATCCTGTCTCTACCAGGAAGACTGGCAAATTATTCCATGTCTGTGAGCAGCAATTTCCCTAGCTTTAATATAATGCCTGCTTCATAAGGATTGGGGTAAAGATTCATAGTACAGTGGTTCTTAGCAAGGGCTCAGGTGGAAGCTTCTCTTGACGGTGGTCTCCCCACTACCAACCTTGGTCCTCTGTAGGTGGCCAGGGTAAGTGTGTGCTGGTGACCACAAGGTGGTGCTAGAGTTAAGGGAATATGGCTGTGGAAGAAATTTGCTTCATCTGAAGTTGTGGGGGTGGATTTCTGACAAGCATTAAGTGGTACCTCGCTTGCTTTGCCCTTAAATTTTGAAAGAGTGGAGAGGGCAATTTGCCAAAGGAAGTAGAGATGAATGAACAGAGAGCACAGGTGTCTCAACCCAGCTCTGTACGGTTTTCTTACTCCTCACTCTGGGCTTTGAGCTATCTATTCATCTGTAAAATAACTATAGTCACTGACATTTGTTGAACAGTTATGTAATCCTTAGAAAAAACTTAGGTCGATGCTGTTTATATATGCCCATCCAAGTTCATAAGCTACTAAGTGGCAAAATCTAGGGCTCAAAGTCAGGTCCATTTGGCTCCAAAGCCAATGCAAATGCAAGTCATTGTTCACTCAGGAAGGGACAGAACAGTTGAGAAGATAGGTAGACTCACCTCACCCGCCCATTGTGGCTTTCAGAGACAACCAACAGCTCAACAGCTCGGATTGCATCTAGAAGGTGGCACTCATCTAGCTAGCATTTCTGTCCTTCCCCCAACACAGACACATCTTGGCTGCTCAGCCCAGCTTAGCCATGGCCATAGTTGAGGGTGGACAAAAGCTCCCTTGGACTCTGTAGAGGCCCCTATAATTTCTCTAACATCTTCAGGGAAGAATGGACACACATAAAGGAATTTTTCAGCTATTAGAGTACCCCTGCTTTTAAAACTGATGTAAATTAGGCCGGGCGTGGTGGCTCAAGCATGTAATCCTAGCACTCTGGGAGGCTGAGGAGGGCGGATTGCTCGAGGTCAGGAGTTTGAAACCAGCCTGAGCAAGAGTGAGACCCCATCTCTACTATAAAGAGAAAGAAATTAATTGACCAACTAAAAATATAACAAAAAATTAGCTGGGCATGGTGGCGCATGCCTGTAGTCCCAGCTACTTGGGAAGCTGAGGCAGTAGGATTGCTTAAGCCCAGGAGATTGAGGTTGGTGTGAGCTAGGCTGATGCCACAGCACTCACTCTAGCCTGGGCAACAAAGCAAGACTGTCTCTAAAGACATAAAAATAATAAAAATTTTAAAATGATGTAAATTATAGGACAATTAACAAAATTGAAATGTGGACTATAGATAATAAGTATCAATGTTAAATCTCTGAAGTTTAATAATTAACTGGTTATGTAAAAGAATATTTTTCTTAGGAAGTACACATTAAATTATCAAGAGGTTTAAAACAAGCATGTTCATTAAGGGGATTTTGTTTGTTTTTCAACAGGGTCTTGCTCTGTTACTCTAGCTGGAGTACAGTGGCATCATCACAGCCACATAAAATTTAAGCCATCCTTACAGATTTATATATTTTTTTTTTTTGAGACAGAGTCTCGCTTTGTTGCCCAGGCTAGAGTGAGTGCCATGGCATCAGCCTAGCTCACAGCAACCTCAAACTCCTGGGCTCAAGCAAACCTGCTGCCTCAGCCTCCCAAGTAGCTGGGACTACAGGCATGCGCCACCATGCCCGGCTAATTTTTATATATATATATATATATATATATATATTAGTTGGCCAATTAATTTCTTTCTATTTTTTATAGTAGAGACGGGGTCTCGCTCAGGCGGTTTTGAACTCCATATTACTTATTAAAGGTGTTTTTATAATGAATGAATGTTGATAAAAGAAATGAAACAAACATCTTATTCTCCCTGAGAAGTGATGTGTTTTTTGTTTGAGACAGGGTCTTGCTCTGTTGCCTGGGTAGAGTGTAGTGGTGTCATTGTAGTTCACTGCAACCTTGAACTCTTGGGCTCAAGCATCCTCCTGCCTCAGCCTCCAGAGTAGCTGGGACTACAAGTGTGTGCCACCATGCCTGGCTATTTTATTTTTTGTAGAGATAGGGTCTTTGATGTATTACCCAGGCAGGTCTCCAACTCCTGGCCTTCAGTGATCCTCTTGCCTAAGCTTCCTAAAGTGCTGAAATTATAGGTGTCAGCCACCGCACCCAGATTATGCAGAAAATTTTTTAAAAATTTAAATTTTACAAGTGTAGAAGAAAAAGAAGCATCAATTAATAGCTTAGGGTCATCATTAACTTTTTTTTTTTTGAGACAGTCTCACTCTGTCGCCTGGGCTAGAGTGCTGTGCCGTCATCCTAGCTCACAGCAACCTCAAACTCCTGGGCTCAAGTGATCCTTCTGCCTCAGCCTCCTGAGTAGCTGGGACTACAGGCATGTGACACCATGCCCGGCTAATGTTTTTTTTCTATATATTTTTAGTTGTCCAGCTAATTTATTTCTATTTTTAGTAGAGATGGGGTCTCACTCTTGCTCAGGCTGGTCTCAAACTCCTGATCCGCCCACCTATGCCTCCCAAAGTGTTAGGATTACAGGCGTGATCGTCATTAACTTCTAATATAGAACAATGTGATGCAAAGGTAGTATTCACAAGATATTTATATAAAACTTTGATTCTTTATTCAAGTTTGATTTTTACTCAGAATTTGGATTTGACTCACTGATGAGCAATTAGAAGAGTTTGTTCTGCAGAGTATGCGGTTCAGGAGAAATCTCTACTGAGTCAACCAGTGGGCCTAGGGGCTGAGGCCTGGGAGTTTGGGCCAGGCTAGAAGGAAGGAAGCAGAGGTAGGGCCAGGAGAGAAACTGCTGGTCTGGTGCTAGGTGAGGTGAAGCAGTATGAAGAACGAGGGTTTCATTGGGTGTCCTTGAGCCATAGCTAGGTGAGTAGCCCTGGAGGTGGCCAGAAGAAGGCAAAGCTATACCTGGGAACTTCAAGCCGATTCTCAGACAGGACAAGAGTCTCATTAGACTCTAGTCCTCTGTCTGCAGCCACATCCTTATATAGCTCTTCACCACAGTACCCCAATACTTTGACTTCTTAAGTAGCATTTGAAAGGCCTGTGGACCTTATCTATTCCAATCCTCTCTCATGGAAGAGAGACGAAAGCTGAGCCCAGGGAGCAGCATAATGACCCATAGGCTCATGCAGCAAATTAGCAGAACTGATGTGAACACCTGAGGTTACAGGGCCAAAGTCAGTGCTCTCAACACTCGGATGATCTTGTTATTCTTCATCTAAGCCCTATTCTCTCCAGCGTCATGGATGAGAAAAGGAAGGATCAGAGGGAGTGTGTGGCCTGAAGCCAAAGACAGAGCTGGGAGGGTAAAGGTGGCCAGCATCCAGGAGAGGTTATGAAAGCTGTTTTGAAGTCACTTCTCTGTGAGTCAGGGTTGGCTTCAATGTGTAGATTAACTTGCTTCTCCAGCCTTCTCCCTGGGCTCCCAAATTAGCCCCCATCTAGGTTTCTCTGACTGCCAGCTCCCTCTCCCACTCTGCTGAGATACCCTGCCTGAGCTAAGCCCCTTCTGCTGGCTCTCCAACCCCACCCAAAGGAAAACCAGAGGGCATCCCCATTTTCAGGGAAGCCATGAGACCCGGGGAAGAAAGTGGAAACCAGAAAGGCTCCAAGCAGGAGGCAAGGATCTTCTGAGGTGAAGGCAAAGATGCAGATATCCTGCCACCTGGAAGAAGGGAGGTGGGGAATAGGCTTCAGAATGAGGAAAAATCAGGGATTGATGCCAGCACACCTGCTCCATGTTACATGGCTGTCCAGACCCAAGTACATCCCCAGCCTAGACTGCCCAGCAGGAACAAGATGAACCAACTGTGGTGGACCTAGAGGGCCTGCAGAAGGGGCTGGGGTTTCTTTTGTTTTGTTTTTCTGAGACAGAGTCTCACTCTGTTGCCCAGGCTACAGTGAGTGCTGTGGCATCAGCCTAGCTCACAGCAACCTCAAACTCCTGGGCTCAAGCAATCCTCCTGCCTCAGCCTCCCAAGTGGCTGGGACTACAGGCATGCGCCACCATGCCAGGCTAATTTTTTCTATATATATATTAGTTAGCCAATTAATTCTTTTCTATTTATAATAGAGACAGGGTCTCGCTCTTAGGCTGGTTTCTTTTTTTTTCTTTTTTTTTTTTTTTTGAGACACAACTAAAAATGTATGTAGAAAAAATTAGCCAGGAATGATGGCGCTTTGTTGCCCAGGCTAGAGTGAGTGCCATGGTGTCACCCTAGCTCACAGCAACCTCAAATTCTTGGGCTCAAGCAATCCTGCTGCCTCAGCCTCCTAAGTAGCTGGCACTACAGGCATGTGCCACCATGCCTGGCTTATTTTTTCTATATATATTAGTTGGGCAATTAATTTCTTTCTATTTATAGTAGAGACGGGGTCTCGCTCTTGCTCAGGCTGGTTTTGAACTCCTGACCTTGAGCAATCCGCCCTCCTCGGCCTCCCAGAGTGCTAGGGTTACAGGCGTGAGCCACTGCACTGGCCAGAAGGGGCTGTTTGAATAAGCCAGAATGCTGCCTGGAGAAGAGGAGTTGAAGCTCCTCCAGATACAGCTGCCTTCCCGTGCTCAAGGCTGGAGGCCCTTGCTTGCCCCGCAGGCTCTGACTCTTGAGGAAAGGTAGCATGGAAGTTCTGCGCCTCCCTGGGAGGCTGAGCAAAGACTCTCAGAAACCCAGTCTCCTGCAGCCTTCCGTCTGTCTCCACAGACACTCCCCACTGCCACCTCTATTCCTTGAATTAGACTTGGGTTTACCCAGTCTCATTCTTTCACTCAGCTGGTGTTTATAGACATTTCCTGTGTCCTGGGCTCTGTGCAAGATGCCCATATGCCTTGGGGAACAATTTGGCCCTGCCCTTTAGTGCTTCAGGTCCAGCAGTGGAGACTGTTAACAAGGAATGAAGAGTGAGTGAGGAATGTGAGAGAATAAGACTGAAGGGGCTCCCATCTCATCTGGGGGTGTAGGTCCACGTGGTGAGCAGGGCTTCACTGGAGAGATGAGAGGGTGAGTTTGGAGACGAATGTTGAGTCAGTCCTGACTTGATCCAAAGGCCACGAAGCCACTCAGATTTCATTTTTTTTTTTTTGGACAAGAGTATCACCTCAAAGAGATTTCAGGACACTGATTTTTTTCACCCTGCTATCATTTCTTTCTTTCTGTTGCCCAGGCTAGAGTGCTGTGGCATCAGCCTAGCTCACAGCAGCCTCAAACTCCTGGGCTCAAGCAATCCTTCTGCCTCAGCCTCCCAAGTACCTGGGACTATAGGCATGCGCCACCATTCCTGGCTAATTTTTTCTACATATATTTTTAGTTGTCCAGCTAATTTCTTTCTATTTTTAGTAGAGACAGTTTTGCTCTTGCTCAGGCTGGTCTCGAACTCCTAAACTCAAATGATCCACGTGCCTCGGCCTCCCAGAGTACTAGGATTATAGGCATGAGCCACCGCACCGGTAATCTTAGAATTTTTATATATGGTGTGAGGTAGGGTGTCTGACTTGTTTTTGCATGTGAATATCCAGTTGTCCCAGCACCATTTGTTGATGAGACTATTATTTCCCCCATTGTCTTCGTACCCTTAGAGAAAATCAGTTAGCCACAGGTGTATGGGATTATTTACGAACTCTATTTCATAGGTCTGTACATCTAACGTTATGCCAGTACCACATTGTTTTGATATATGTAGCTTTGTAGTAAGTTTTGAAATCAAGAAATTTGGGGCCGGGCATGGTGGCTCACGCCTGTAATCCTAGCACTCTGGGAGGCCAAGGCGGGAAGATTGCTCAAGGTCAGGAGTTCGAAACCAGCCTGAGCGAGACCCTGTGTCTACCAAAAATAGAAAGAAATTAATTGACCAACTAAAAATATATATACAAAAAATTAGCCAGGCATGCACCACATGGTGGCACATGCCTGTAGTTCCAGCTACTTGGGAGGCTGAGGCCATAGGATCACTGAGCCCAGGAGATTGAGGTTGCTGTGAGCTAGGCTGATGCCACAGCACTCACTCTAACCTGGGCGAGAAAGAATGTCTCAAAAAAAAAAAAAATTGGGGCTGGGTGCAATGGCTCACACATGTAATCCTAGCACTCTGGAAGGCCAAGGCTGGAGGATCGCTCAAGGTCAGGAGTTCTAAACCAGCCTGAGCAAGAGCAAGACTCCATCTCTACTGAAAAATAGAAAGAAATTAATTGGCCAACTAAAAATATATAGAAAAAAAATTAGCTGGGCATAGTGGCGAGTGCCTGTAGTCCCAGCTACTCGGGAGGCTGAGGCAGGAGGATCACCTGAGCCCAGGAGTTTGAGGTTGCTATGAGAAAGGCTGACGCCACAGCAATCTAGCCCAAGCTACAGAGTGAGACTCTTGTCTCAAAAAAAAAAAAAAAAAAAAATTTGGGTCCTCCAACTTTGTTCTATGTATCAGTACTATTTTGGATATTTAGGGATCCTCGAAACTCCATATGAATTTGAGGATTGGCTTTTCCATTTCTGCAAAAAGATCATTGGAATTTTGGTAAGGATTGCATTAAATATGTAGATTGCTTTAGGTGGTACTGGCATCTTCACAATATTAATCTTTCAATCCATGAAGACAAGATGTCTTTCCATTTGTTTAAGTCTGTTTAAATTTCTTTCAACAATGTTTTGTAGTTTTCAGTGGGTAAGTCTTACTTCCTTGGTTACATTTATTCCTAGATATTTTATTCTTTTTGAAGCTATCATAAATAGAATTGTTTTCTTAATTTCTTTTTCAGATTGTTCATTGCTGGTGTCATTCTGGTTTTTATTTGCATTTTCCTAATGACTAATGATGTTGAGCATCTTTTCATATGCTTATTAGCCATTCCTGTAAGTTTTTTGGTGAAGTGTGATCTTTCATTCTTCATTTCCAACTTTGCATTTCCATGAGTGGAGACCACCCCCCCC